TTTTTGGTTGTTTTGTAGTTCATTAGTGAAAGAAATGCAAATATGTTTTTCTTAAATTACTTTTATTTCATAGGAATTTATTTGAGAAAACTTATGAAATCAACGAAAACTGACATTTATTGACCAAAATATCATTAAAAAAAACTAATTTTCAAATCAATCATTAAATTAAACAAATACTAGAATTTATGTGTTTTTTAAATATTAGATTTAAATTAAATATTTTCAGGTATTAAATAATGATATAATTCGATGAGACAAAGGGTTGACACCAAAGAGATTGAATCAAATATTGGATCAATAGATCACTTCATAGAGCGAAGCCTTCTTATCTCCAGAACCGGTCACTATATACTTGTCATCCGAAGAGATGTCACAACTCAACACCGATGAGGACTCCTTTGACTTTAAATTAAACAAATACTAGAATTTATGTGTTTTTTAAATATTAGATTTAAATTAAATATTTTCAGGTATTAAATAATGATATAATTCGATGAGACAAAGGGTTGACACCAAAGAGATTGAATCAAATGTTGAATCAAATATTGGATCAATAGATCACTTCATAGAGCGAAGCCTTCTTATCTCCAGAACCGGTCACTATATACTTGTCATCCGAAGAGATGTCACAACTCAACACCGATGAGGACTCCTTTGACTGCATTTACAAAACAAAGTATTAATAAATTGAATAAATATTGAATTTGAGGTAAAGAATGAATTCATACCTGAAAAATAGAGGCGCCGTAAGGGGTTCGCCAAGCATTCAGAAGATTGTCTTTACCGGTACTGACAAACCATTTGCCACAGTTTGCAAACTTTAACGACAGAACACAGCTCTCGTGTAAATGCAACTGATATTTGTCTGGTTTTGAACAGTGAAGCACTTCTACGTTAGAGCTCTCCATTCTAGACATACAAATGCAATCATTAATTATCCATTCATTTCATAACATTTAATTAGCAGTAATTCATACCCGACTGCCAGCCAATCGCCAGTCGGACAATAACCCAGAGAAAAGATCTGAGACGAGAAGTCGTGTTGTTGTAGTATTTGAGGTAAAGAATGAATTCATACCTGAAAAATAGAGGCGCCGTAAGGGGTTCGCCAAGCATTCAGAAGATTGTCTTTACCGGTACTGACAAACCATTTGCCACAGTTTGCAAACTTTAACGACAAAACACAGCTCTCGTGTAAATGCAACTGATATTTGTCTGGTTTTGAACAGTGAAGCACTTCTACGTTAGAGCTCTCCATTCTAGACATACAAATGCAAACCAAACATTACTTAACCATTCATTTCATAACATTTAATTAACAGTAATTCATACCCGACTGCCAGCCAATCGCCAGTCGGACAATAACCCAGAGAAAAGATCTGAGACGAGAAGTCGTGTTGTTGTAGTTGACGGCCCTAAACAATGATTAACATGTTAGTTATGGATGAAACAAATATTTATATCTTCAAATTACTTCTCGCAGATCCCACGAGCGAACTGTATTATCCAGACCTCCGGTCCACAACTTATTCCCGTCGTTACTGATATCAATACAAGACGCGCCGTCAGTGTGTCCTTGAAATTGTCGGACAAGTGTTTGATTGTGAAGATCCCAAACCGCAATGTTTCCGTCACTACAACAACTGAAGCAAACTTTTGAATCGGGACTAATAGCGAGGGCATAACAGGCCGGAGCCGATGACGTCAACTCGGCTTTAATTCTGGGTATAGAAGCGCCCAAATCCCAGATACATATAGTACTCGCTTCACCGCCGACTATCAGAGTTCGGCCGTCGGGTAATAGTTTACACGAACGGATGTAATTGTCTTTTTGCTGTTTACAAATAAAAATATTTAGATTTTAAATAAATTTATTTTTAAACAAATTCATACCAAACAATCCAATTGAGAGACAGGACTTTTACTGCCGGGTTGGCTAATGTCCCACACTTTGACACAACCTTTGCCTCCGGTGTAGACATATTTAGTTGGGTTACTGATAGTGACGGCACAGACGACTTCCCCGTGATTTAGAGTATTTATTTGTCTCGCGTGGCGAGGAATCCCTGACCCGACGAGAGCGTCGGGTGGAAAGGGTACGGGTTGTACCTGACCCTCAGCGTTCACATGAAAGGAATAGGCGGGTTTGCCGCCTGGGATAGCGCCACCAAATCCCGGTCCCCTCATGGATGGGTGTGGTTCCGGATAGGGTCCGCCCACCTGTGTTCACAATAAATACATATTAAATACTCAACAATTGACTAATGATTGCATTACATACCAAACCCCTAGAATAGGAGTTAATCGCCGGTGAGATGTTATTATGTAGGGCTACGCTCTGGGAATAGGCGGCTGCAGCTGCGCTCAGATCTGCCGGAAGGTGTGGCGGCCCTCCCGGTCCTCCATGCAATGGGTAAGGATATGGGGGTCCTATAAAACACAAATATATCTCTCAAATCATCTGAAATAGCGAATTAACAAAACAATGTAATACCGAGTGGAGGTTTGGGTATGTTTTTCATGCTACCAGAGCTGGTAGGCGTTGTCGGCTTAGGAACGGGTGTCATCGACTTCTCATTCTTCAGTTTTAGACAAAACATTTTTATTATCAAAATTAATACAAATATATATTTTGTTAAATAAATACCTCTTTATGTTTGGAAGAAGGAGTGCTTGAATTGGAGGATATACTCGAGTGTGGACTATGAGAACTGTGCTCTTTCTTCACTTGCTTTTCGTTGCCGTTTTCTCGCGGAGAAGAGTTGCCGTTCCGAGAGTTCGGAGACCCGACCGGGTCTTCATTGGCCACGTCTACAACCAATTCCTGGTCACTCTTTTCTCCGTCGCTGTCCTATCGAGTCATTCAATTATATCATTAATAAATGGATTGACAACTAAAACCAAGTTTGAAGACAACAAACCTTCTCCTCCTTCGCATTCTTGCGTTTCTTCATCTCGTGCTCCAAATCTGGAGATCTGTTGCGAAACTTTTCCCTATCATTCGGTGAAATGGAGTTTCTCTATAAGTAATGAGAAAATGAAATGTTGTGTAAATTTTAATCATTATATTAGACGTCAAATCGCGAATTAATTAACAATTGATTATTGGTTTGGAATTATTAGAGGATTAGAAAAAACAACTTTCACTTTATGTGTGAAAACTAAACGGATGAATAGATTGTCGCCGTTTCCATAATTATTATACTCTACTGTCAGTCAATTGGTTTTTGAGATGTTATAAAACAATTACAAACAGGAATCCACTCACTTGTGGAGGAATTCAATTTGATTGCATTCAAGCGTAAAAATAGTATTTTTTCAAAAAGTATTCCCCAATAATGTTGGCCAACAAGAAAAACAAAAATTATTAGTTATGGCTTTGCATTCAATGTTGTTTCTCGTGTATTGGCTTTAATGATAATAAAGTAGAAATAAACTCTTTTGTGTGAATTAATGAGTTTTTTTGTCGTAAACTATAGTTTCAAAAATAAAATGTATTCAATCATGAGATATGTGTTTAAATAGTTTCTAAACATTGGAAATTAGTAATAAAAGAGTAGTTTTCCTATTAAAACATTAAGTAAATAATTTAAATTTCACAACAATTTTCGTAATAAAAACTAATTATATAATAAACAAAAGAAGTCAATTAAGCGTTAAAAACAAAACCAAACTTTTGTTTGTGTAAACTTAACAGTAAATATATGTTTTAATGTCATTATATACTTTACAATATGTATGTTCAGTATAGTCTAGCATTACTAACAATACATTAAAGAAAATTGCAATAATGGTTGAATTAATTGAGTTAAAAGTATGTTTTTAAAAAGTGTTGTCAAAATATATGCTAGTTTTGGGAAATGGAGTTTAATCTCAAATACTTTAATTAACTGTTGAGTTGAGGGCTTTTCAAAGTTATCAATTCCTATACACTATAGAGTAATGAGCTTTTATAGTAAGGCCTGAATATAAACACCATTTGATAAATTTCAAGCATAATATTAAGCATTTAATTAATGCAGAATCAATTAAAAACTCTACTAATTATATATTGTCATACAAATGGGAATTAAAATAATATAACAAATTAAATAATAGTGTTGTGTATTAAAAGAATATATAAAATATTAGAGGTATAATCAATGCATGAGAAAATAAAAACATTAAATCAAATGTTAGACAAGTATTTGCAAAGTTTTATTTGAATTAAAAATAAACGAATTCAGTATTAAATACTGTACACAACATAATATCACTCATATCTTTATGCTGTGTATTAAACGCTGTGAATAATAATAAAGTATGAAATGTATTGATAGAATTGATGGCAATTTTGTGATCCATATAATGAAAGGCATTGCAATCATTTATTTTTGAATGAATGGGGAGAGAGAGCCAGGAGTTGATCCCTTATGGGGACTAACTTTATTGAATTAGTTGGAAACAGATTTGGAAATCGGACTTAAATGTATACATCAAAGCATATCAAGCATTTGTGTCATCAATGAACAGCCAAATTACACTCTCGACTCCTCCCAACAGCCAATTTCCTGATGCCTGCGCTCCCGATACCCCCCGTAAAGCTACTTTCCTGCTAATCTGCCCCCACATCTATGCCAGACAAGTCGTTGCCATCCCATCTCTCTCTCCCCTCATCGCTGCACACAATGGCAAATGTATAAACACTTTAAAACCAGATGCGAACACTACCAGCACTTCCCCACCACTATTACTACTACAACAACGACTACCACTACTACCACTGCCATCACTAGTACAACACTACTCACTACTCCGTTACAGAAACTCAATCATGCGATCACTGCCTCACCAGTCGCTGCGAATCCAAAACCTATTTTCAAACGCTATGTGTTTCGCCTTCACAAGCGTTGGCTGCCATTACCGCCCGCAGTCTTGCATCGCTCTCAACCTTATATACAAAGTACTGTCACAAACACCACCACCAGAGCCAGTATTACCAGAGCTAACATACAAAAAAATACTACACAACAATGTGCACCAGTCGTACCCACTATAACATACACTACAAGCAAATATCCCGCATCGCTCTGACCTATCATTAATTGTCAAAAACTTCACGTCATCGCCGACACTATTCTTATGCACATAAAAAACTGATCCGAAACTACATTATCACCAGTAAAAAGAGTGTTTCCATCAATATTTCACTCAATGTCTCTAAATGTCGGCTCAATTTGCAAATTCAATACAAACAATGAATGTCTATTAAGTATTGCGTTAATTATACAATTCATTTGAGAAAACATACCATCAATTCATTAAAGTGTGCGAAAAATAAGAACAAAACAAAAAACTGAATGAAAGTTCTGAAAGGATATCATAAGGATATGTATGAAAATAATAAGTTTGATTATGTTTTGTATATTCAATGCGAAATTCATGTTATTTTTGTGCATATGATTTGTTAGAAGTAGTGGTTAGACATGATTTTGACATTCAGTACTCAAACCCACGTTTCGTAATAATAATGTTCGGTATTGTATAGTAGAGGGGAAGAGTGGGGTCACGAGGAGTTTGGAGGGGAGAGGGGGTCGGTATATATCAGTTCATTACCCATCCATGCATTTCCTCTGAGGCTAAAATCTCCTCTCCGTTTGGTTTGAGTATTGGCTCTAAAAACGCAAAATTCGTTTTACGCTATGCTTTGGATTTTCGATGATAACGATAAAAGGGCTCTTTATTATCACAGATTATTGTATTAGTAGAGGGACTCAACTGCACTGGACAGGTGCCCCTCACACCCCTCCAATGAGCACATACTCCGAGCACACCATACCATTCAATGGCGAGAGAGAGAGAGAGAGAGAGAGAGAGAGAGAGAGCGGGCGCGTCACTGCATCCGTTGGTATACTAGATATACGGCAACTAAACCACAATCAGAAGGCATACATTGCATACTAAACAGGCATTCATTGGATGCCATATCTATAGCTAAACTGACGGCAATTATTTCTATTCATTGCCGTCGTTCTCGTGCTGTTTCACTGCTATTCACAGCATTTCAATTCATTTAGATTAAAGTTAGTAAACATTAAACCGGAGAACAATCTATTGTATGACAGCATTCATAGCACAGCACCAGCGCTAACACAATCACCACTATTACCATCAGCCCTATCGGTCCCGCACTTGCGCTCAACACTAATTAGTAAACAATAAATTTATGAATAAAAATAACACATTATGTGTTTTAAAAGTTTACTTTTTTGTTTTACAAATTATTTTTACGAGTTATCGATTGATTCGTTAACACATATTGTTTTTTGTGCCCTAAATATTAATTTGAATACAATTTGCATTTCAAGGCTTAAGGATATTAAACAAACACTGCTATGGAATGAATGTTGAAAAATGTTGGGATAATTTCCGTGATATAAAAGTGACATAATTTCACTAAAAAACTATTTTCTGTCAAAAAAGAGTAAAAAGAAGAGTGAGAGAGAATGAGAGAGAAGGAGAACTAACTATTCGTCAATTCGGCGTTAATTTTGATGTGCAGTTCAGTAGTGCTGAGGAAGTAGTGCTAGAGATGGTGTGTTTCGGTGCGGTTCACATGAATGCCTCAGTCATGCGAGCGGAACACCATTTGCTGTAATACTTACACCGGACTCATAGAAGTGATAGAAAGTAATGATTCACTCATTTTATGATATAAATTGTCTTAACAAAGAACACGCAACACAACTATTACTACATTTGATGCCAATTCAACGCTATTGAAGGTTTACGCCCGATATGAACGCCAACAACCAGAGAGAGAGAGAGAGAGAGAGAGAGAGAGAGAGAGAGAGAGAGAGAGAGAGANAGAGAGAGAGAGAGAGAGAGAGAGAGAGAGAGAGAGAGAGAGAGAGAGAGAGAGAGAGAGCTAAGCAAAGAGCAATGTTAATATTATTCGTATGCAGTGTATGTTAGCTTATTATTAGGGGAGAGAGTATGAGTGAAGTATAGCATCTGCAGTGGTTTCCAAAATAATGATCGCTTGTGTTCAATGTTTTCTCTATTCGTTTCGTTTGTAATTCATTTACAGTACAAAACATGTATGGGATGTGAGGTCTGAATATATGAAAGGCTGTGTTAATTCATGCATTATTATTAAAATAGAAAGTGTGTAGAAAAAAGTGGTGCACTTTTTCTGATTATATACACCATTGCTATTGCGGTTGAAATTTAGCAATACTTTCAATGATAGCGCACATATGCTAACAATTTAAATATTTAAATAAATATCGTTTCAGTTTATGTTATCATCTGATGTACAGAATAAAGAGCAATGTATACGAAATATTAACAAAAAATAAAATATATATTAAAATATATTAATTCGATGCAAATTTTTGAATAAATATTTCATTTCTTGTCATAATTGAAATATTAGTTTTTATAGAAAAATCAGAGTTAATCAAAATTCAGGCGTTTATTCAGTCATAGCCTCGAGTTATCTCCGAAATGAAGTACTCGTGAAATGAAGTTTAAAAACACTGAAAGATTGGGTAATAAGAAGAAAAATACGAGCGCTTATAATAGGAGAACACCACCCAATCCTATGGGATTCATCACTTTTTATCATTTATACGTTTATAAAGTATAATATTATTATACTATTTAGTAGTTGAGGTAATGATAGTATAGCATACAGTTTATTCCCAATCAAGTCTGGGCTAACGTATAGTTTATTAATGTCTAAGCAATATATCGTATATATTATCAACTTTTTTTAACTGCAATTAAGTCATTGCATCCGTTTCTATATGTATGGCAAGTGAACCACAATCTGAAGCATTGAACGCATACTAAACAGCCGCCGCTCTGGCAGTGCAGGCGCTCTCACTATATATCGGATTAAATGTTAACTCGAGTTAATAATTGGCGTTCATTCACGTCATTCACTCTCATTTGCAAACATATAATAATTGATCGATTATTTATATAAAGACAATACGTTTACAATATATTCATCCGTTTATGCTTTCAATACAAACTATTATTAAACAAACAAAGCACTCGTTTTTCAATATTTGAATAAAAATGACATAAATTTCATTTTCATACCTCTCTTCTGTCGTCTTTTGTTTCCAATTAGAAGATATGAGAAATAAATCAAAAACACATTTAAACAACTAATTCATAGCAATTCATTTGGTGTTCAGACAACTGACCATTTAGTGAACGCTTCTCATTGTTCTCGCGATGCGATGACTCCTTAGGAAGAGCCGACGGAATGCCCGGCAAATGACTTGAGTTGTTATTATTTGTGGGCAAAGACGGGCCGCCAGCCAATGCACCGGCAGATGATAGGGCTAACAGACCGGCAGCAGAGCTCGATGGCGGTAATCCGGCGGCTAATGCTGCCGCTGCGGCCGCAGACACCGGCGGCTGAAGACCGGCGAGTGCCGGGTGCGGCATCATAGGCATGGGTGGCCCGTGTGAGTGCGCCGATGAGAGCTGTTGAGCGTGTATTTGTTGCTGTCATACAAAACCATTCAATTAGTAAAAATTGTGGCCAAAATGTAATCATTAAATTCAATGAATGAGCGATCACTCACTCCAATGATGGCATTCAGTTCAGTCATCGTCACCTGTTTGGCCCTCTCGACCGCCGACGCGACCTGTTGTTGATGCTGTCAATGAAGACGATACACAATGAGGCAATGTTCATATGCTCATGGTCAATTTACTTTATAAACAATTATTTATAAAGCAAACCAATTAACAAAAACTTACCTCTTGTGACAAAAATGGTAAAATCTGTGCAATAATTGCATTCAAACGCTTCGCGATTTCGGTCTAAAAATACAATAAAATTATATTAATTTATTTCTAATAAATTTAATATCCATAAAATGTGCAAACAATTGATTTCTTACCTGTTTATGCATTTCTACATTCAATCCGTAAGACATTTCGTAATACTGTTTGTAATGAGAGTTAAAACACGTAAATTAGTAATCATATAAGTTGTATAATCAATAAATCTCTTCACTAACCATAACGTAATGTCTTTGCATTTCTGTCTTCTCTGTCGCGAGTTTTTCCAATTCTAGTTTCAAACTATCATTCAATTAATTAGTTGTTTAATCCGTTATATAATCTTAATATACAATACTGTGAATGACATAGAAATGCAAACAACGCTTACCTGTGATACTGGGCCTGAAGAAAGTTAAATTCCTCTTTAATCCGTTCACACGTTTCCGTTACCGTGAATTTGAATCCCTGTCCGGCCTGTGGCGGACCCTATCATATAATATACAGTATGTTATGTTAGACTGACTTTCAATTTAAATTACTAATATTTTTATTCACATTTATATTGTATTGTTTTTTATTGACAAGTTTTAATGAGTGCCTAATTGTGTCCATTCATGCATTTATTGTAAATTGTTTTAAAAAGTGATGATTAACTTAAATCTAATCCTAATATCGACTCTAATTCCTATTAAACACAACAAACACTCAAAATGTTTGATAGTTTTCGATAAAAACAAAATCAATTACTTCTCAAACAAATACTTCAAAAGTGAAAACATTTTTTATAAATAGTTTTTCATTTAACTATTAATTTAATAATTCCTTTCATTTACTTTCAATTATATCTAAATAAATATTTCACTCAATTAAATGTTAATTAAAAAAACACATTAAATATTTAATAAATTATCGAAAATATTCAATTAAAAAATGACTTAAAACTACATAACTTGCGGTCATTTAAAGACCGGTTAAGTGACCACTACTTTGAATAACAAATGTGGACAATATATTTGGGGACAAAATGTATTGATTAAATTTTTAAAATTATAAAAACATCTAAAACTAAATTTAAATTTATATAAAGTTTAAATTAATATATGAATCGTTAATTGAAATAAGCATTAAATTGCAATGAATGGGAGGGGAGAGGGGAAGGGATGGGGACAGTATGGCCGGCTCGGGTCGGGGGAGCCGTTGGGTTGACTGGAATAAGCATTGGTTGAGTACATAGTATTTGATGAGTGAAAGTGGGGACACATTTGTGGTAGTGGTTAGAGAGCGCCGTCTGTGGGCGCTATCGTTGATTGAATGGTAAACTCAACAAATCATTGAAACAATACAACCAAATGAATGGTTTGGGAAGAGAGACACCAAATGTGAACACAAATTGAGAGGAAAAAACTTATCGCATAATATATTCACAGCAATCGTATCATTGATAACATACCGGATGTCTTGAATTATACATTGTTTTCACTTTTCAATGTATTTTTAGTCCATATATTGAGAAAATGTAGTAAAAGTAGTCCAGAAATGGGTTCAAATGAAACCCAAAAAATCCAAAACCGAGTAAAAACTTAACACCGATTGTCGTTGGGATCCGTTTTGCACACAATATTCAACACATTTCTTGGGTTAGAGTGAAAAACACGGTTTCGTTGATAACTCTTTGACAGTGGAGTAGATGTGATGGAAGTGATGGACAAATGTCTTAATGTCTTCAATGGTGACCAACAGAGACAACACTGCATAACATGACTGACAGTCTATACGGAGAGACAGAGTGTAAGGCAGAGACCGAAACACAAGTGTCGGTGACTTTGATTACTTGATGCCAGCGATCGCTCATTGGCTCAAAGCATTGCAGTCACGTTACGCCACACGTGCTCTCAACCATTGCCAACGCTGTGACAGTGGGCGGCACTTGAGGTTGCAGTGGGTTTGCCCAGCAGTGAGTCTGCAGTAATTGCATGTGTTTTGCTTTCAAAGTATACGATATGTTGTGAGAGAGAGAAAGAGAGGGGAGAGAGAGAGAGAGAGAAAGAGAGAGAAAGAGAGAGAGACAGGAATGGGAGGAATGGAGTGAAGATTAGTGTGAGTGCTATGAGTGCTATGCTTTGGGCTCTAATAATATGATCCCAACGTATATAACATAACACTCTATGCATAGACTGTGTGTTCAGTCAATCCAACGAAAGGGCTTTTTATCAGAGATTCTTAGTTCACATCCAATGTGAACAACATTTTTGTGCGCCTTTAGAGGTATGACCTCATGCTTAGCGCCGACACCACGACCCACACCAACACCACAACACCCATACAGTATACCATACCATACACTACCAAACCATCCACTCTCCGACCCGTATGTGTTGATTATGTGGACACCAATCGCCACAATATGACTAAAATAGACACAAATACCGGCGTTTTGTCCGTTGGCTTATCATTATTTGTAAGCCTTAAGAGAGAGGACATGTGTTTCGAGAGTTTTCCTCTCTTTTGTTTGTTTAGCGAAATTTAAATTCAATTATAATTATTAATAATTATATTTGAAAACATGTCACTAAATCTTATGTTGAAATGTAGAAACAATTTTTACTTATTTATCTCTTTACAAAAGTATTGTCCGATTTTTTTGGTTATCATTTCTATGGCTTAAGAAAAGATGATTGCGTTTGTATAGCATTAGACAGTATTTGCAAATATTTTTCATTTATTTGAGAAATATATTAATAAATTTGATATAAAGTTATGATTATTTGTCTGTAAGTGAAAAGTGAGAGAATATGTTTGGATTTTGTCAATAAATTGATATTCAGTATTGAAATGCATTCATTTGGTAGTGAATGTGAAGGCATTGGTAGTAGAGGTGCATCTCTAGCCTGAGGCTCATTACAAGACATGCAATAGATGTGAGACTCGACTCAACCACTCATTTGGCAAAAGTCTACTCAAACTATCGGTTCTAAACATCTATAGAATGAATGCATCGCTTGTTATAAAAACCTCTTTTGCTATAAACCTCTGGTAATAAGTAATCAAAATAAACACACACTGAGAGAGGGGAGAGAGAGAGAGAGAGAGAGAGAGAGAGAATGGCAAGTGTAACACAGCCCAGTCCTACACATTTACTTCTTTGCGCTATTACTACACACACTCTGTCCCTCTCTTCAGTCATACCTCCCATCCCTCAGCCATATCTGACACTCACAACTAATTCGTATTAAGTTAGCCAGAAATAGGGGGTTTCACTCATCTCTATAATGTGTACTTCTTTGCTATGTTTGCCTCAAACACAACACATTCTCACATATAGTGGAGTGTCAGCCCCTGTGCCCCCTCACAGCTCTCATGGTATGATTGACTGGCAATGACTGCCAGCGCCGAACTCTCCCCTCTGCCTCTCTCATTGATTCTCTCTCTCTCTCTCTCCACTTCTCTACACTATTGTTGTAAAGACTGGAACTCTGTCTCCAGAGATGTGCACATCCTTTAGCTCCTAATCCAAACTCCAAGACATTAAGCCTTTTTTGCCGATAAAATAGACGATAAAATCTATGTTAGCGTTGAATACAAATCTCTCTCTCTCTCTCTCTCTCTCCACTTTCTCTGTACACACTTTTGTCATCATTTTTTAAACTACATAAGCGTTGCTCTATTGGTCTGAAAGTTAACTTACATTACATTATAAGTACATTAGTGTATATAAAAGTGTATATAAAAGAGAAAGAAATGACAAAAAATTCTTCTTTTACGATAACCACCAGAACTATACCAAAAAGCGATCAATCGTTGATAGATAGACAACACAATACACTAGACCTCAATCCACTCACTACTGGTCTCTCTTATCTTCTGCTTCACAGCTCTCTCTCTCTCTCTCTCTCTCTCTCTCTCTCTCTCGCTCAGCCCATTATATGGTCACGAATTATGATGAGTATGTGATAGGATCAGCGCTGGCAGTGTTGCCGGTGTTGGCGTTGAGCTCTGTATATATTGTCAATTTTGAGAGCAATTAAATATTCTTTGGGAAGACATGAGTTGATAACAAACAAACTTTTTTTGGTTGTGAAACAGACAACCAATTGTGCACTTTATGCACGTCCTGTTCAATAGATGTGTTCTCTATGTTTATAAATATATAATAAAGTAAAGTATGTATGGATTGTGTGTACAGTATTGAAGGCATCGTTGCGATAGGGCTCAGGTCTGGGGATGTGTTGCAGAGATGCGAATGGAAAGCATAATAAGTGATACCGAGAGCTATGACTGGAATACCAGAAGTTTTGGTAACGATTTAGTCTAACAGTTGTGTCATAAGAATAGTAATGATAGTAATGTCACAAATGTTATCAACATTTTTTAAAACTATCAAAAAAATGTTCGTTCACTGCATTCACATGCAGTACAGACTCTGTTCAGAGCCTGTGTTCAGTCCTCCCCTCCCATACGGCTTTCACTGCATTCTAATGAATAGTACATAACATAAGAGTTAATAATTAAAAATATGATTTCGCGTGACTTCAGACTCGAGTCAACATAATTACAGCAAATAATACTTCAATAGACTAGTGATATAACGACCAAAAGACATGTATGGCTGCCATTCATGCCATTTAATGGTCGTCTCTATTGTCATATGTGTTCAGTTTGTAATATATATGAGGGACTGGAATGCAGTGAACCGTTTCCATCACACTCTCTGTCCACCACTTTTACCAAATGCGAACTACAGTGCAGTACAGCCAGAGTCAGCCCAGTTAGCTATAGTCGACTAAATACCAAATTGCAATTGCAATCACTCTTTCCTACAGTTCTCTCTCTTCTCTACACTTCTCTACACTATTGTTGTAAAGACTGGAACTCTGTCTCCAGAGATGTGCACATCCTTTAGCTCCTAATCCAAACTCCAAGACATTCACTCAAACATTGCACTCAACTTATAAACCATACGTTCTATTCATAAAAAGACAAAACATTTCACTTTTAATCCAATTTTGAATTCTGCAAAACATGACTCCCGAACGCCTCCCCAACCCTCTAAGGGATCAAAACATCCGCATATCTGACAACATTAATACCAGGAGAGAGAGAGAGAGAGAGAGAGAGAGAGAGAGAGCTGTGAAGCAGAAGATAAGAGAGACAAGTAGTGAGTGGATTGAGGTCTAGTGTATTGTGTTGTCTATCTATCAACGATTGATCGCTTTTTGGTATAGTTCTGGTGGTTATCGTAAAAGAAGAATTTTTTGTCATTTCTTTCTCTTTTATATACACTTTTATATACACTAATGTACTTATAATGTAATGTAAGTTAACTTTCAGACCAATAGAGCAACGCTTATGTAGTTTAAAAAATGATGACAAAAGTGTGTACAGAGAAAGTGGAGAGAGAGAGAGAGAGAGAGAGATTTGTATTCAACGCTAACATAGATTTTATCGTCTATTTTATCGGCAAAAAAGGCTT